GAAAAGTTTAAAGGATTACGTGTAACCTTATCTACAGCGTGCCAAGGAGATGCCCTGATAACATAGGGCTCCTGTCTGCAGAGCTAGAGGAATGGTGCCTCTCAGTAGCAGTCCATCTAAAAACAGGCCTCTGTGGGTCTCTTTATACCATGCTCCTACTCGGCACATACCTTTTCCCAAAAAATGAAGAACTACGGCCACTTCAGAGCGACACTAAAGGGATACCCAGCATTGCTTAGGCTCTTTGTTTCAGGTGAGTGTACTAGCACTCAGACAGCCCCATTTTAATGCAGCTACACTACCTCCTTTCTGGGATCTGATGCACAGAATGGGAGCAAGCGGTGGTAAAGAATAAAGTGTTCCATTTTAGGACCAGGTTTTTCTTAGAAGAAAAAAAATATATATATATCCTCCATTTATTCACAAAACAGGCAGATGCTGCTGCTGGGATTCACAGAAGTTTAGGGCTAGAAGGGACTTTGTGAGATCATCGGGTCCAGCCCCCCTGCTCTGGGCAGGAAAGACAATTGGGGTCAAATAACCACAGCAAGGTGCACATCCAGTCTCTTTTTAAGAAAGATCTCCAGGGTAGGTGCCTACACCACCCCTGCTGGGAGTCTATTCCAGAGTCTGGTCACACGAACCATGAAGAAATTTTTCCTTAGGTCCAGTCCGAAACTTTTTTCTAGGAGTTTATGACCATTGCTCCTGGTTTCCCCTGGGGCACTTTGGTGAACAGTTTTTCGCCTAGCCCCTTATGCTCACCCCTGATATCTTTACCAAATGCCCATCAGGATTGAGCTGCCCTGACCAGACCATGCCACTAGGAGAATGGTCCTAAAAGCAGAACTAAAAGGTAAATTCCATCTCCACAACCCAGCCGGTCCATGGCCCCTCAGCAGCATTTGCTAACATGACATCAGGTTGTGCAGACGGTGGTACTGGATGTGTGATGGGGTCTCTGGAGACATGGAGCTGGACAGAGAGAGCCTCCCCATCTGATCTCACCTTGACCACTGCAGAGCTGCTGCATGGCAATGAAAGCCCAACAGGAGCCAGATTTTCCTAACAGGAAGTTCTTAATTTTCTAGACAATTAGCTGCCCAGACAACTGCTAAGAGCAGAGAAGAGAGACTAGCTACAGAGATCATGGCATATACATCAGCACGAGAGAGAGAGAGAGAGAGAGAGAGAGAGATTGTTCAATCAGCTCCCATGCACCAATTTCAGCAACTGCTCATTTGATGGTAAATTATACTACTTCCCCACCCTCACCCTTCCTTTGGACGGGCTGCAAGATGTTGGGAAAACAGGAAGAGAAAAAGATACACTTTATATTAATGAGAGAGAGATTAGGTTTCCCTTAACGTATCTATTACAAGGATGGTCTGTTTGATGCAACTGGAGAGAAAGAAAAAGAAATGCTATACTCCAGTAAGGTCCAGTCACAATGCAAGTTTGTTTGTACACTAAAATTACTGATGTCATTCCAAACTCCAGAAAACACTGGCATTGGGCAGATTTTATTAAAGATCAGTGGTCTCATCATGAATAATCACATAAGAGAATATTTACACCTGCCTGTCAAGGGGAGCTACCTGTATTGGGATTGCATGCATCTGGGTCCTTAAAGAAATTCAGGGGCTTTTTCTTAAGAGGAAACAGGAAGTTGGAGACCCTGTATTTTCTCACTAAGAAGTTATTTTAACTCAACTCTTGACAAACTTCCAAAAGTGTCCAAGAAAATTAGGGACCTAAATTCACTAACATACTTAGCTCATAGGAGCCTTTGAAAACTTCATCCCCATAGTCTAATCTTCAGGCAGTCATGCTTGCAGGAGGGAGCAGAAAAAGTTAGGGGCCACCCGACTCCCAAGATACTAGTTTATTGTCTTGGCTTATTCCGCTTCTGCCTCAGACCCTGGGAAACGCCACCTTGTCAGAAGCCATAAATTGTATTTATTTTACAATTATGAGCATGCAAAAGCATCATTGATTTCACATAAAACCACTAAGGAGTCCCTGTCTGGACGTTCCGAAGGTGATTTGCCTTCAGGATTTACTGATCCTGCCTCACTTACCGTGCAACATGGGTCATGTGGCCAAGTTCTTTATGGGTCGTATTCACACGTGAGCCAAAGACTACCCTGGAATGACACGTCACAGGGAAAGCTCAGATAAGGTAGCACCAGTTTTTAAACAGTATTATTTTCTCCTCTGACCCAGCCACCCCACCACAATGCTCCTGTGGCCTTCGGTACTAGGTGCCAGGATTCTGACATCAGCCAATGAAATCCCCAGCTGGTATTTCTGTCACCTCTCATTTGTTGTATCAGTATCATTTGGGGAAATGATCCCAAATTGATGTCAAAAGAGGCCTGGCTCTCCCTATTGTATATGGGCTGATCTTTGAACATCTCGTTAGCAGATACATACATACAGTATGACAGGTGGAATTTTAACCTGCATTCCCCCTTTACCACCTCATCTGCTGCCCACCTTGTGCAGAGTCCAGAGCCAGGACACTCCAGCATCTTATCTGGTACAGCTACAGGGCTCCCTGCTTTTATCTTTTTCCCCTCCATCAATGGCATTGAATAGGGTTGACAGCTGAACTACTCCCTGTCAGGTTGATTCTCCATCAGGTAGATCCAGCTGTCAAACAGAGACCTCTTCCCACTTCCCTCTCTCCCTCCACCTTCACAATAAAAGGAGCTTTATCCAACGTCTAACCCACTCTTTAGTCAACCATCCCATGGCTCCCACTCAAGGACAGATCTATTTGACAAATGATGGCCCGTTTGTTTGATGAAGCCAGTCACTTGTCTGGCTTCAGATCCATGGAACAGATCACCGAGTGGTCAGGATACTGCAAAAGGAAAAATACCCACTGTGCTTCAAGTATGATGGGGGACATAGCTGCTGCTTGCTGTCCATGAGAGCCTGCCCAGATCACCCAAGCTCTAGGGACCCCCAAGATGAAGGGAGTATCATTGACCATTACTTCTCCAACAGCTAGTCAGGCAGTCAGATGGATAGTTATGAGGATCCCAACATCTGTGGACGGAAGAAACCTTCCAGTTCAGTTAGTATATCCCCTGGATTATCTCCTACACCACATTTTGGAAAGCCAAAGTCCACGTGTCACCTCTAGGAAGCATCTTCCTGATATTCAGTCTGTATAATGTTTTCATCCTTCCCTTCCCCTTCCCCTCTGCCCCCACTAAAATGGCTAGTTCTCTTCCCTGGGTGCCTACCAATGTGCTAGTGGTAAAAGCCTCTTTGTGCTCTGCCAGTGCAAGAGCTGCCATTCTGACTGAACTCAAGAATTGAACCAGGGCCCTACAGGACTAAAAGCATGAACTGATACAGCTAAAACTACAGCTAAGTCTTGTAATGGGATTAACTGGGGCTGTACCCGACTCCCATCACTCGTATCCTCTGGAAGTAGGGCAGAGAGGGGTATGAATTGGACAAATCTTTAACCCCCTTGCCAAGGAGCAGCCTGTTGCACAGCACAGGTGGTTGGAAGACAATTTCCACAGAAAGCACTACTTTGACCTCTGGTGCTGTCCTTAAGGAGGGTCTGCCTTTCTGCACTGTTCTAGCCCAGTTTGGAGGTTTAAACTTAATTGAAGGGCCTTAAGCAAAAAGAGCTCATTCTGGAAAAATCAGTATCTGAGAAACAAGGAGGGAAAGGAAGTGGGGCACCGATTAAAACCCTTGCATCCGCAAGACCGTGGTGAGAAGCAGCACCACTCCCTAGCAGGGACTGGGAAAAAACAGGTTCTGCCTAATGAGTAATTGCACTGAATGATGTAAAGGAGGAAACTAAGCAGCAAAGAGAAGGAGGGAGACATCCTGCCTTACAGTGCAGGGGAATGAAAAGCAGAGACATCTCATCGAAACTGAAGGGAACGGGGGTGCAAAGAGAAGACTACCCAAGACAGCAAGTCGCCTCCTCCTTCCTGTGCTCCAACCCTAGTCAGCTCACAGACCAACCATCTTGCTCTGTCTGGTCTTTACCTGCTGACCTTATCACCCCCAAAAAGAGCTGTTTCACAGTGGTTGGGGTTCCTCAGGAGCGATGCAGTCTGAGGGCTCTTTCATCCACTTGGAGTGGCTGACGGCTTCCCAAGGTATGGGTTCTCTCTTTGGAGAAGAGGAGTTCTTTTGCCGACCTCCCCTTCTCCAGACAAGCTCCCTTCCAAAAAGCGCTCGTCTGAGTCGGCAAGAAAGAGACAAGATGAAAGTGATGCAAGGTGTTCCCCTATTCCTTCCCCCCAGGGACTGAAGGGCATTGCCTCTGCAGCTTGGTCTTATGGCCAGCTCTGTATGCCCTGTGAGGCAGAGACAGCCTTATTGGCCTACCAGGACTAGATATTGATATCCCACTGTAATAAGAGCACTCCTTATACTTATGTGGCAGTCTGTCACCGCAGCAAAGCTACTTCTGAGGTGGTGCACAGCATAATTCTGGACCAGCAAAATCTGTACAGTCATCAAGGCTAACTTTATAACTGGTAGGTGCCCATGGTTTGCTACACGTTTTTTTCCTCTCTCCTAAAAATCAGAGACAGACCAGGAGAGCTTCCTTCTCTACCAAACATACTTCCATGAACTGCTGATCAGTTTCCTACACTCAGTGTAGGGAACCATGGGGCTTCAGAAATGGAGGTCCATAGCAGCTACCTGGATCATTATGGTATCCACAGGGTCTACAGTACAGCACATTTCCCCTCCTTCCTCTGAGCACCTCCTAGGAAAGATAACCCAAGAACAGAAGCAACTGCATAAGCCTAATGAATAAGAACTAGTTAAACCTGCTTTTCACCAGGCTCCAACTAACTGGACTAAATCCAACCGGGTAGGTAGGTGGGGATTTATTTTCTGAAAAGATCCAACAAGGTAGGCCCATCTAAATAGCTGCATTCCCACACATCTAGTCCAGCAGAGTTGGAAGACAATAGCCTTACACCAACCACCACCCACACTGATCTCCTGAGGACTCAAGGTAGGTGAACTATTTGCAGCCAACTTAGAGGAAAAAAAAAAAAAAAAAAA